GGAAATGCGCATCCACGCCTCCTGCTAGACGATATGCATATCTTCTTTGCCCCTGATTGTCTGGCGTTTTGCCTGCGCGCGTAGTGCCTCTGTGTCTCTAGAAATTCATTGTATGTTCGTCAATACTGAGCTGAACTGAATCTGTCAATGCATGTTTGAACCTTCCCCCACCCCTCTACTGCAACCGCGGAATGTGACTCTAACACGTTTCGAACCGCGTGACACACACGGTTTGTCATATTTGTCGCTATGCGGTGTTTTATTTGATTGATTTGGCTGTCCTCTCGTGTTCCATGTTGTCAAATTACAGTCTCGGTTACGGAACATACCCCACAAGCGTTTTAAGAAAGAGAGGAAATTAATGATGAATTACTGATGAAAAATGATAAAATGCTCCGGAGATGCGCGCAGTACGGCGGTACGCAATGTGTTAAGCGTAACTCTTGTTGTTGAGCTCAACAGTTCTCTTCATCACTGAATGTGACTGACTCTGAGAATTATAATTTGACACGCTTGCAGGTTAAAACACCAGTGGGGTGTGGTTGACCGAGATGACATGATTGCGGCAGCCCGTTCGGTAATAGCCCGACGACTTGTTGACGGTCAAAAAGTGTGCATTCAAGGAAGTTCAGCCGGAGGGTGAGTGCTAACCTCAAGGGCGTTATTATCCGAGGTCGTTTGACTGTGATGAAAGTGACGGTTAACCACGAAAAGATAGCACTGTTCCATTCAGTTATCTCGTACTGTCAGCCCTGATCCACTCGGACGTTTTCAAAGCAGCAGTCTGTTCATATGGAGTGGCAGATTTAGTAGGACTAGCCAAGGTACAGAGGCATTTTTGGCATTCTTCACCTATTACTGCCCCACATTTGAAGATTCGAGTCAGAACCTCGATCTGCCTTGAGGGCTGGCCTCAGAGGTAGTACGAACTTTTGAACACGGACATCAAATTTTCTTGGCTCGGAACCGAGTGGTTCTACCGTGGTCTTAAATCATCCAACTTGATGGAAATTTGTTTCTAGAACTGATGACCAATTCTAATCCTACCTGTTTGCACAGAACCGAGTAGCACCAGCGCCACAGCCCTGCTTTGGCGTCTACGCTTGCAGCACGGGCGCCACGCGTTTCCGAACCAAGCGAAGTTCCAAGAAAGGGGATTAGGGAAAAGGTCACAGGCTCTCTGGTTGCCTGCATTGCTGATTCCCCCTCCCTTCCTTGAGGCTCCATCGTATGCTTAGTGGACGAATTGATCAC